CGGAAGAGCTGCCTTGTCCATATAGGGAACCTCTTGATGTTTGTGATTGATTGCATTGCCCAATGTTGAAATATTAATGACTTTCTTGGACTGAGGACCCAAAGAGGAAACTGAAACCAATTCTGTCATCACAATTAAAGAGTCCCCTGGCTTTAATTAGCCTGACCTGGGGTATCTCTATCCATTGCTGCAGTTAAAGAGAAAAAAGCCCATTAAAGTCCAGTCTGAGACCAATAGCTACTTAATTGAGCACCTAAAGCCTCAAGCCTTTTAAATCAAATACTGTCCTGGACAGGCCCCCTGGTTAGATAATTAGCTATCCAGCCTCTCAGAAACCACGTGAAACAACTTCTTCAGTAAAGAATAGTTACTGTGCAAGTCTTCCTTTACTGGTAAGGAGGAATAACCATTTTTAAAATATAAAACCTTTTTGCTGTTAATGGTATTGCAGAACAAAACCATTCGTAATGGTAGAGGGAAAGGTAAGCTTAATTTACCTGGTAAATAATACAAAGCAGCATCAAGGTGTTCTGACTTTGCAAGTAATTTTTAGGAGTATCAGCAGAAGATTTAGCTGAAGTAACTCCCCTAAACAGAATTGTTCTGGGACCACGCTTAGGGAAAATCTAAGATATGTGGAAAGCTTCTGAATTAGTTTGACTCCTTTATTAGAATTCACAGACAGTCAAGCTGTATGACCAGTTCTAGTCAGAACTGTATAACAAATGAATGCTTAATGAAGACAGGTAGTGCAATGATGCTAGTTTCCCAAAAGCTGTGTTTTCAGTTGGGTGGTGCAATCGTGCGGGGAGTTGCGAGAGCCCACTTGCCGGCTTCAGATTCTCCCAGACAAGTAAGGTTGTCTCTTCATCTGCAGGACTTTGCCTTTCTGCCTCCACCCTACCTGAGCAGGGCCCTGGTTACCACCCCCTTACTCTAGACTTTTGGATCTTTGCTGTAGAAATGTAACAACAGCGTCTTGTTGCCTCCTCTCGTTGTGCTTCCCCTGCACCTTTTCTATGTGCCAACTTCATTACGAGTAACAATGGAGGAAGAAATATGCGTATCATAAAGCTTTGGAAGTAACCTCAATACATCATGTAACTACTCAGAACTGGTCCTGATGTAGAAGATGCCCTAATAACGGACCCTTAGTTTCCTGACAGTTCAGTCCCTTTGGCTGGAGGTTCTGACAATGTATTAGTTCAGCTTTCCTTTTGTAACCACTGTGATTCTGCAAGAATGTGTCAATGTGTCGTGGATCTCAGACTAATTAGTTTTGAAATGGAGTTTTGATTGAACTCTTCAAATCGATGCTGCTGCAAAATTTGTTTCTCAGCTTCCTATTAAAAGCCATCTTAAGGGGCAGTTTTACTACTCTCTCTGTCGTTCAGTCGATACATTTAATAACAACTTACAGGCTATTTTCAATAAAGTGGCGACAGCAAATTAGTAGTTTGAACATGACAAGCCTCCTCTGCAAGCTCAGATTCTGAAAATTCAAAGCAATTATTTATATATAGAGGCACACTGCAGTCATTCAGATTACAGGTATTTTGTTGTAATGCATCTCCTAGGTTGACACAAACAGAATTTTATTACTTTATTTGGACAGGAAGGAGATGCAAATATTAATATTTATTATGACACCAATCCGCTAATTTGTAAATCCTATTACTATGTTTTACATTGTGCAGAAAAGTGGGTCTGTGACCCTGCCAGCTAGTTCAGTTTCGTTTTTTACTGCAAAATGACTGTGGTAGTCTTTATAATATATGTGTATATTAGAGATGTGCGCAAAAGCAAATAAAGGTTTTCTAATTCTAGGTAACTCAGCCTGTAAAAGTAGAACTCAATAATCATTATTGTATTATATTCTGAATCGATGCGTTGCGCCTTTAAATGGATTTGAAGAATTATGTATGTATTTTTCTCCACCACTCTTCTGCCTATCTCCCCCCTCCCCCACTGCGTGTGCCCCAGATGTTGTGGTCTCATTTGATTGCATAGGAAAACTGCAGTGATACAGCAAACACCCAGAGAGATATGATGACAAATGGGTCCAGATCCCGGTAAATTACTTTCTGCTCAAATCGAAATTTCATTCAGTTTGTTGCTAGCAGAGATGAAGTAATCTAAATTGTGGACTCAGGAGCAGATAGAGGGAAGTTGGAGCAAGCATTTCATTATCAAGAGAGAGAGAAGGTTAGGATGAAAGAGATGAGCAGAGGCAAATCTAAAGTGTTGACACCATGATTGAAAAGGTTAACCCATACACATTATATATCAACCTGGATAGCAGAGAGTTTCTAATGGAAACTCTGCACTGATGGAGGTTTACTGGAGTTTCAATACACTGAGCATGATGTCTTCTTAGATATACAATCAAATCCTCTTAACCCTTTTGATGACTCATATCTCAAGATATGATTAAAGTACAAAAGAGTTCTTCATATAATTTCAAGGACACAATGCATTTAAACTCCAGTCATGAATTGTATCTTTTTTTTTTTTTTTATGATGAACCCAGTAATCTGATAAAATGTGTGTAGTACAGAATTGTTTGTGTTTCTAGAGGTGTAAGTCAATATTTCTGATTAAATCCTGTGTAACCACATCCAAGGTAGGATGAAGCTACCAGTTGTTACACAAAAATACACTTTTTCACATTGCAACACAAAAGCAAGGTGGAAGATGGGTGTTAGAAGTCTAAAATAGTTGTGTAATAAACCATTGCAGTGATGTGCAAAAACATTTAAAGCCTCCTGTGTATTAAATTATTCATGATCATCACCTCTGTTTCAGGTTATTTGGAAATAGCGGTGCTTGCAGTGCCTGTGAACAAAAAAAAAATTCCTGCTAGTGAGCTGGTCATGAGGGCACAGGGCAACGTCTATCATCTTAAGGTGAGACTTTTTTCTTTGTATTTTTTTAGTAGCTGATTAGTACTGCCATGCTTCTTTAGTGTAACATCTGCATCTGCTTGTGAATGAAATGCAAAGCAGTAACTAGAAATACGAGTGTATATTATAAAGCTTCCCTTAGTGTGTAGCTTTGTTCCCTTGTAATCGGTAAAACTATACTTGAGTTATGTACTGCATAGTCCCCACAGGTAAGACTAATGCCTTATTTGGAGATGCTAGAAACCAAGCAGCTCCATATCTCAACTGTACTCGCAGTCTCTGAAGTGCAATTTTCAAACCTGCAGCATACTTAATTTGTGCTGTAGTTTCACTTGCTGTCTCTTCCTTTCCAGTGTTTTACATGCTCTACCTGCCGGAATCGCCTGGTCCCTGGAGATCGGTTTCACTACATCAATGGCAGTTTATTCTGTGAACATGATAGACCTACAGCTCTCATCAATGGCCATTTGAATTCACTTCAGAGTAATCCACTACTGCCAGACCAGAAGGTGAATACTCAACAATTACTAATAAGCTTTATTAGAGCTAAATGAAGATCAATTTCTTTTCATTCTAATAGCGGACATTCCCCACTCCTGCAAGGAGACCTTTAAGTAACTGAACTTACCCTAAATAACTTAGACATGGGGTATGGGGAGAAAATACTAACCATTTATATATGACATACAGGGTGAGTCAGTTTCCTTTGGTTTGGGCATGAGCGCCTGTACAGCTGTTGAACTCCTTATGTACAAAGTGAAATGGAGAGCAAACGTTAATATAAACTCTTAACAAAGAGAAGTATTTTATTTTATAATTTTCAATTAAAGGCTACAAGGAAGCAGATTTCTGTGGGAGGAAAATTAGATACTTTAATATGGAAATAAATGTCTTGTGAAGAGAAGGTTCCTGAAGTAAATGAATGTATTTCACTTTAATATTAAGGTTTTAGATGAGGGAGCATGCTGGAGTTCTTTTTCAGAAGTATTTTCTTGTCTGTTTTGTACGTCATAACTCAGGTTTAAAAACCAAACTGCTATTTTCTTATCACTCCGTAACACTAATAGCTCAACTAGAGATTGTGCATCTCTGTGGTTGATAGCTCTTGGTTTCTAGCTAAATAAGTAAATAATGACTGTACGAATCATACAGAGAAGAAAAAAAATTTCTGCTCAACAGTTGTCCTGTAACTCTGAAACTAGATAGTTGTAGATCTATTTTAATCTCCTTAATAAGTCCTAAAGCTATGCAAGTGAGTGCATTTTGATAACTGCTGTGCCTAATTTGTAACAATTACTGTCAACCTTGAGTTAAGAGACTGTTCATTCCACCCTGGTCCAGAAAAGAGTGAATGTATGACTCTTGCACATAATTTTATTCACATCATATTTCATACTGATTATGTATTGATGACATTGATTCATTTACTCTTTACAGCGCCACTTGCAGGGATATTAAATCTTATTGACCACAGATGAATTTTAATTTCAGATTGGTGATAGATTTTTCCATCAGCTCTGATAGTATATTTGACTTTTTCATCATTAACCCAGGCAATCACACAGCACTGAGTTATTGCAATGAAACAAAAAGTGCACACTTCAGTTGGTAATTCTTTATAGATTTACAATAGGAACTTCATTAATGTCTGTAAGGATCACAAAAAATAACATTTATCTGCAAATAGGAATTTGGGAGATTAAAAAAATCTGGGACAAATGCTAGGCCGATCTATTCTGCAATGTACAGAATATTTTTTTAGTGCTTTTACTTAGTGGAGGAATAGGTCCAAGAAAACAAACTGGTTTTTAATTTCCTTTATTTTTTTGTTGTGTTGCTGCATTTCAGTATCTGTTTGTTTGGGGTTTTTTTTCTCTGCCTAAATTTACTGATTAATTTTAAATATTCTTTCAAGTCTTACACAGTGAATTTAATTACATCAAAATAAACCAGACTTCTTTATTTACTTAATTTGTCAATCGAGGTGATGAGAGTTGAGTACAGAAGTCCTATATAGTTCGAAGAACAAAGATAATTAAGAGCGGAAGATCTTAAGAGGATGTGCAGCCTCTGCTCAAGGAAGTACAAATACAGTTAAAGATTCATAGATTTATACTGTTGTGAATTTTAATGAAACAAATCTGTAATACAGACTGGCTAGCAGGGAATCTGTTACATTAATATTTGTAGGTATCCCATTTCAAAATATAGGGAAAACCATTTATCTTTATACACTGCAGTAAAAGGTTTACCTTTTTGAGAGACTGGTTTATCCACTTGTCTTCTATGAATGTAAAGTTTAATGTAACTTCAAATAGCTGTCTAAATTATCACTTAGTTTTATCAGTTTCTTACTATGCCTTAGCAAAACATAAAAATGATTTAGTCGCAATAAAAGCAGCAGATACGGTGAGGAACACAGAACGTGGAGAAGTATGTGGCTTGCAGACAGAGCTCATGGCTTTAGGCACCTGGTAGAAGCGAAATGCAGAGAAAATGTTGAGAACAGGTTTTTATTAGTTCTGCCACTGACTGTTTTGCTGCAGTCAGTGGTGAGGCAGATGTCAAGGTGTAAGAGGGAAGACTGGGGGAAGAGAGAGTATAGTTTAGTGGTTTTTTTCTTTGTAATATCTCTAGAAAATGGTCTTAAGTTCTCGTCCCAGTTTTCAAAGGGGAATTGTGGAGCACCTGAACCCCAGAAAACTGAAATGTAGTTGAGGAGACAAGTTGATAATTGATACATTGTCAGATGGATGGAGTTTTGGGAGCTGCAGGGGCAGGTGCCAAAAGAGTCGTTTTGTAGGTTATTTTTTTAACAGTCTAAGTATCTTTACAGCAGAGATGTTTTCCAGAAAGCTGTGTGTTTTAGGGCCACTAATTAAAAATGTTCTTCCACTATGACAGAGTTGGCTGTAACAGATACTCTTTATTAAACATTAAAGATCAATCAGTCTCGAGGTTATTCTACCATTAGAGATTACAGACATATTCACAGGGTTTTTTATTAAGCTGAAGAGATTGAGACATACTCCCAGCATTAAAGCACATTTCTGTTTTGGGTACGTAAGGTGTAGCAGTTATGAACTCACTATTGTCTTAATATAGTTTACAGGTTAATACCCACTAGTGTTTGATGCAGGCAGGAAGGGCTGCAGGATCTTACTTTGTTTAAAAACTTGCATTTCTTTTTAGTTAGGCAAATGCAGTGATGTTGGCTATTCCTGCTTTTTGCCTCCCTGAGGCAATTCGCACAGTAAATTACAGCTTCCCATCACTTGCTGTGTAGTTTGAAAACAAACCTGGTTTATCTAACCTCAATACCACTTGCCTGCAGCCTCCTAGTTTGTGATGTCCTGTGTGTTGGTTCATTTGAAGGGGCTGTATTGTCAAGAATTCTCTGTGCTTTTCTGGTAGCAGTAGCTTTTTTGGTTTGGTAGCTAGTAGTAAGTGGCTGATAATACCACAGTATTTCTTGGTTGCAACAGTGTTCCCACCTGCTAAAAGTGCAATTTCTCCACCATTTGGCAATGCTCGAAGGAAATGCTTGTCTTCAGCTTCTATACTTTTAAATAAAGTATGAGTTAGAGTACGACTCTCAGGGAAGATCTTAAAGATCTTCTAGTTTACACATCACTCAACAATTCCCTTGTAGTTACATAATTGGTGTTGTCTGTGTCCATAGTAGAAGATATTTGATGCTCATTTATTAAATATGCTTGCTGGCTGCTCCCTAATCTTTGTTCTGGACAGACAAATTACCTTTCTCACACTGAGCTTCAGCTCTGGGGAATTAAACCTCCAAGCCTCTACTACTTTAATTAGCTTGAAAGTGGGGGGTTGCAGTTACTAATAGACCCCAGGCTTTTAGTAACTTAGAGAAAGGGTGAAAAAAGAACTTCCTGGGAAGCGCAAAATGTCATTTAAAAACCATAAAAATCTAATATATATTATTTCATTTTGGTAATTGCAAACAGATTGTATTTGAAGACTATGGATGATCATTTCTATTTTATCCATGAAAGTTTAGATTTTTATTGAGTTAGACACTTTTAATTATCACAATTCATTAACACCAGTGTGAAAGCACATGTTTGACTTCATACATTAAAATGTTTATGTAACATTAACTAACACACCAGATGAGGAATTTTAAATGCGGGGGAAAAAATCCTGAAATATCTATATTTAGCTCTTGTGCAATGCAGCATATTAACTAAAGTTGCCTTGGGAGGATATTGGCTGTACTTCTTATTTGCTTTACACACTATTTCTTCCAATTATAAGATCATATTACTGGCTTCTTCAAAGGCATGGTATAATGTTTCTTCCCTTTTAAAAGGGGCCCAGAAAAACCACCTTGTTTGCTGTACGATTTGTTACCAGAAAGTGCACTTATTTATTGTTGTCATCTCTTTTTTTTTCCCGTCTGCTCTTTTTAGTAGTGAAACTGCAGCAAATGTTTGCTTTTTGCTATTTGAAGTTGAAACATTAGCAGTATGAATGGTAGTGTAGAAAGGCTTAATCAAGTCACAGTTGGAAAGTAATTAATAAAAAAGAGATTAGTGAATAAGGAAAAGACAAACGCAGTCGTGTTGTAGTTTCCTATCTCCGATTTAGTATTTTAGCTAAGATACCCATTTTTATTTCTTACAGGTCTGCTAAAAGGTCAGAGTAATGCAGAATGCGTGCCTTCATCTCAAATTTTGTTCATCACAGATGGATCCCATGTCTCCAAGTAGACAAGTCACCTTTGTAGCTAGCATCAATGCCAGCTCCATACCATTGCACCTTCTTTATTCATGATTGCCCTTCCCACATTTATTGGTGTATTAAAATGACTGAATACGAGCATTAAGGACTCCATGAACCTGGGCTAATGGGAGACTGTAGAGAAAATGAAAAAAGATTCACCAGAGGACATCTTGGGGGGCACGGGTGGGGGTGGGTGGGGAAGATGACTAATGAAGCTAATTAAAAGAAGCATTGGAATCTGCTTTCTACCCTCATTAACAATTAGCAGGGCACTGGCCAGTTTGTGCCCTGTGTTTTACCTTAACAACATTCTATTTGCTCTTTGTATATTTAAGTGTTGTAAGGAAATGTGTTTCAATCAAACTGAACATGAGATAAAGATGTGGCTTTTGTGATATTCTATCACAAACACTTTTATTGTATCTCTGTAAAATACAATGTATGTATGCATGTAAGTGTTTTTGTCCTAATGTTGCTGCTTCCCATGGCAAAAAAAAAAAAAAAAAAAAGAGAAAAAAAAAAAAGTCAGGCTCATAGCAGCTACTGTGTAGAAATTTTCACCTACTTCTAATTTGCTGAATGAAGAAAAATCTTTTATTTGTGATATTTTCAGAGACATTTGCTCTAGTATGGTGTATTTAAATAATAAAAAAGTAAAACAACACTGAATTGAGTATGGGTTTTAGAAGCTTTACTTTTTTAAAAACAAAACAAAAAAACCCTACATTCAATACACTGTTCTGAAACTGTATCTTACATTGTCCTTACCTTAGTTGCAAATTACCTTTAAAAATATCTTTTTGGTTTAGACATTTTTTTTTTGTCTTATGCCAGTAAAGATTCTATTAAACTACTTAAACGTGTTACTTTTGCTAAGGATACAGAGCACTACTTCAAAATTATCTTTATTTTTCATTGAGATTCCTCATTCTGGTTAATAGCAAGTATATTATAATTCATACTGCAGTGAATTATGGTGGATGTATTGGTAGTGTGGTCTCTTTCTATCCCGTTCCTTTCTGCAGAATCATCTGTGTCAAGGGAGTGCATGTGTCTGAGTGTGCAAGCACGAGCGTGTATGTATAGATCATAAGAGGTCAAAGAATAATAAAAACCTTAAAGGTCTGTACCTCATGCTGAGCACTAGAACTGACTATTCATAAAAAGGAATACAATAGCTGTTCTGAGCTGAACACAAAGTTGTGTTCGCTGGGGTAAGAGACTTAACTTTTCAACACTGATAATCTGGAAGAAAAACACATTTCCTGGGCTGTTTCTGAGAACAAACTAATCTCAAATATGATCTGTTCTCTGAAAGCAAACAAACAAAAAAGCACTGCTCCCTGTGCCCCCCCCCCAAAGCAACAAAGCCTTCTCTCAGCTTTGAAAGGGAGCAACTTCATTTAGTGGGTTTTTTCCCATCAGCTGCTCGGTGGTAGAGCTGTGCAGAATTATTCTGAGAAAAAGCTCTGAGTTTTCACGACTGTAGCAAGAACACTAACATGAATGCATGGCTCTGCCTTCAGTCAGGAACCTGCAACCTGCAAGCATCTAGAATGTGCCTCTGCTGCAATTAATAACAAACCATTATTAACAATTACTCTGCTTTTATAGGAGACTAGTACATTTGAAATACACCATGATTATGCTTTCCTTTTCAATTCTGTTTTTGAGAAGGTGTTCACTGTTCAGCATGTTTGGTTATGCAGTGAGCTTGACTTATTTTTGTTGTGATGCCGATACACAAAAAGCTGATTTATAGATTTGTCTGTCTGAACAACCAACAGCAGATAGTGGGGTTGTTTTTTTCAGATGCTACTTCTTGACCTCTAGTATATTGGAGGTCTGCTGAATTTCTTCTTTTAACACTTCAGTGCTTGAGGAAAAATAGGGCTGTTGCAGAGAAAAAAATGTTGTAATGCAGAAGTATCAGACAGGAAAGACAAAAGCATACTTGTATAGTGTATAAAGCAATAAAATGAAGCTATATATGACTTGCTAATTAAATGCACTTGCACATTTTTAAAGTAAGTTTCTAAGCTTTTTGATCTGGCATTAACGTCTTTCAGTGGAGTTCTGCAAATTGTCCTGCTTCAATATCTCTGAAAGGACACTTGAAGTCATATGAATACAGAATTCAAGTATTAGTGAGACTCTAGGCATCTTTTTGTAGTCTCAGTAAAAGCACTCAAGGTAGTGTTTAACACAGAGATTTTTGGTTGTCCAATATAACCTAGAAGTGCTAAGAAGATAGCTAATAACTTCTGGTAAGTAATGTAGTGTAGCATTTAGTGTTGTAGAGGTTGATGTTCATTAACGGCTTTAAATAAACTATTATATGACTCGTTTGTAAAGCACAGCTACCTATTTAATAGCTTACTTTAAAAGCATTTCTTAAGTTGCAGACGTATAAGATTACAAATGTCATTCATGTTAGCATAATCCACATGCAGTGATGAAGCCTTTGCTTTGATGTGCTAAATTGGAGGAGGACTAATGGAGCTATGAATATACAATAGAACATATTTGAGTAGTATTCTTGCTTTAGGTGAAACACTTTCTTGAAACCAGAGGCATTTCAGACAATAAAACAGGCTCTAATGGGGATGATAGGTGTGGATAGGCAGCTACTGGAAACACTTAGATTTGTCCTTAGGTGAAAACATCACTTTTTTAGGAGATCTGAAAGGAAAAACATGTACTTCTTCACCTTTTATCACATGCATTTGTTACGCTAAGGCTGAAAAACACCGTCTGCATTTAGTGCTGCTGAAAAGTCATACAAATAATCATTCAGTAAGAGCCGCCCTCACTTTCAAAAATGAATGCTGTTATAAAAAAAATCAAAGGAAATATTACTAATCTGAAATAATCCTTGTGAACCTGGATAAAATGCTCTGTCTATACAGCATCTAAATGTCTCAATCATACAAATTGTCACTCTTATTAATGAAACAATTTTGTAAAAAAGATTGCCCTCTAAATGGGTTTAATGTTTTTACCTATCCAGCTGTCTAGTTATGAGATTTACAGATCCTGGCAGGCAGTGGGACATTAAGCCTTTCCAAACCAAATTCTGTTTGCAACAAGATACTGTCTTTTCAGTCCTACATGATTTGTCTTTAAATATTTTAACAGGTTATGCAGTATCTTATGAAATATAAAATGAGAATGTCTTACAAAAATGAAGCCTATGAAATTAAGTCATGTCTTTAGAATATTAGCCACATTGAGTTTGTCTCCCTTTTTGCCTTTAACACTGACAAAATTTGTGTCATCTAATTTTAGGGTAAATACTTTAAAAAATATTTATACATAAGTGTTCTGATCTCTGTTTAGCTACTTTAACAGAGGTGTTCATTGCAAAAAACCCTCAAACTTGACATACACCCACCAGCCAAATCATTTGATAAAAATAGTTAAATTGATCTTTAGGAATGTCTGACTACTTAATAGCAAGTCATACTATGCCAGTATATGATTAATTTTTTTTTTAAAGTATTATATTTCTTCAGTGTGAAATTATGTGTTTCATGTCTGATTTCACTGCTTGAGCCTCCTGTACATAAAGTACCAGATAACCATTGTTGCTGTTAGTTACTGTTAGTACTGTTAGGTGTATGTCTATTGTCAGTCCAGCTAAGCCACAGAAGAGCTTATTGCAATTAAATAGCAATTTGTTTCCATGAAACTGCAATTAAAGTATTACTGATCAGCCATTTTAGATTGGCAGTGCTTTCACTGCATGTTAAACAGTGAGGAGCTCTCCACTTATTTCTGCAGAGTCTGAGCTGCGAGTAACAGTGAAGTGTAACATGCTCACCTATGTCCCTTGTCAAGTTGAAAGTATGAGTCCTCCGTGAAGCACTCTGATCTCATCATGAACATGCTGAGAGCAATGACAAGTCAGGGCTGATCTCTCTAAGTTGAACTTGCAACTTACAGGAACTGAAGTTATTACTGTTTTCTGTTCCTGTATAAGCAGGGATGTCTACGCTTCCTACAGGGGATGTTTTCAGCTGCAGATTGATTCTGTTGAGAATGGCCAGCGAGTTGTGGGCCACAAGCCAATAACATGCTGCAGGTCCTGGCTTGTTAGAGCTGTGTAAACAGGGCTACGATAGCTCCGTAATCACAACTCATAAAAGACTAGAAGAAACCAATCAATTACCTTGTACCATTTTTTTTTTTTTCTCTAATAAAAAGCAGAAGTTTATCTGACAGGGTTAGTATTTTCACACCTGTACAACAGATGAAACAGTTGAAAGCAATCCCATCCACTTACCTGTGCACATCCAGGGTTTGCCTGCGACATTCCTGGGAAGCCTCCGTGCTCCTGCCCCCAAGCCTGTCAGGACCCGCCAGCCGCTGCCTGAGTCCCCTGCCAAGCTCGGAGCCATTCGTGGTTGACTTGAAATCTGAAATGTAAATTTTTGGTGCAAATTAAAAACTTGTTTGTAAGAACTCAAAGAGGAATTAACTTTGTAGTGGTAATTATATTTCTTAATTATCACCATATTTTAACAAAGTCTAAGATGTGTTAACTTCAGTTCCTGCATTTTTGCACAGTGGGGCTGTAGACATCCTCATTTGTTGCCAGAGGGGATGACATCACACCTGTGGCATGCATGAGATAAGCGTTGCTGCATTTAGAAACAGGTTTGTGTCTCTCAGAGATGTTCTTTGCAGGGTGAAATGGCTTGGGCCCTAGTCCTGCAGTACAACCCATGAGCAATCTGCTCCATCAGGTGGTACAGGGGTAACAGGAGCATCATCCATCCCCAGCATCTGCAAGCTCCCAGCCTCTAGCAAAGGGCAGGCAAAATGTCTGTGCTTAAACCTCAGTGCAAATGGCCCAGCTGACAGTAATTCATTCATCTGCAGTAGACTGGTCATATGGCTAAGCCCAAGGCCTTAAAAAAAAAAAGCCAAACAAAAGAGTCCTGTTTATGGGAGACAGACAGACGGTGTGCAGGATTTTTAGGGTTTTTTTCCCTGCTCTGTGGCTATTTTTTAACAAGGGGGTTCAGTTGTTTTCTTTTTACAGTAGTTCTAGCATTAAGTTCACAGAAGGCTACACAGTTCAAGGGGGAGGCAACAGGGATCTCAGATGGTAGGGTTGTAAGCCTCTATCCTGCCCAGTGGCTCATGCTGATTCTTTTGTCTTGGCTCACCTCAGTAATTTTGCTGAAACAGCCCTACAAACCATAGCATTAAGCCCAAAACTAAGCTTGAGACATTCTTGCCCCAAGAGAGCTGTATTGAAGATAAAACAGACATGCTGAAAAGAGGTATTCCTTCTGGTTGGGTTCCAGACCCAGTGAACATGCCCAGGAGGGAGGGAGCCACACTGCCAAGCAGGGTGAGGTTGGCAGCATGAAAGAAGCCCCTGCAGACAGAGCCTGCCCTGGTGCCTTTCTTGGCAGCAGTGAGTGAGTGGCAAGTGGTCCCTTCTGGTGCTCACCATGCCCTTTGCTCTTAAGAGACTGCTGGCTGTTGGGCAAGCCAAAGCTCTGTGTGCAGCCAGGTTCCTCTGCAGCTAAACCAGGCAATGCTTCTTTCTCACATTGTTGGAACGTGCTGTTAATTTTGTTAGTTTTGAAATATCCATATAGTTTTCCTCTTAGGGGATCTTACAAGCAGGCTTTTTGCTAACAACTTCTGT